GGGGGGGGGGGGGGGGGGGGGAGGGTGTATGTGGAGAGGATCAGGGGTGTAGCCATCCCTGCAGCACAGATCACTGGTCCTGCACGCCGCTTTCCAAAATACCAGATCCATGCATACACCCTGCTACATTTTATACCTTGCACTTATACATGAAGCACCCCAGGCCGCCACTGTATAGGATCAAGTCTTTTGCACGCACTAAAAAAAAGGTAATTCATGGCAAAGTTCTTCCATCAGTATGAGGAAAGAAGGATGCTCCTGTGCTTAAGGCAGTAGACAGGCACACAAGAGACTTAGCTGGTTTGAAGTAAATTGTTTAAGGCCAGATTTTAAGGTATTCAGATACCTACAGGTGTTGCTGGCCAGCTACTGGGATGTTTAAAACCCCTTACATCCCTGTATGTATCTTTAGGATCCTATAAATCTTCAAAAATCTGGCTTCCCTAATGCCTCAATTCTCCTACCTATAACTTGGAAATAATAATACTCCTTTACTGCATACAAAGTTACTAAGATACTTCATCATACTAGGAAAAAATGTATAACATTGTCAAATATGTAGAATTTGATATCACAAGCCACCAATGATGGAGGAATGATGCCCCATACTTCTAGGAAGTGGTTGGTTTTAGCAGCAGTTAGGAATTTTTTTCCTGCTCTATGTACAGCATTGCACTGTTGACCCAGTACATTACCAGAGTCCTGAGGAATACCAGAATGGAGGTGCATGTGTCAGCTGGTCTGTATTGCTTTTCACCAAGATGCTCACCACAAGGGAAGTTATTTTAATTCCTTGTTTTACTAGTTTTTCCCTCATGTGGACATGAACTACAGTTTTTGAGTATAGCAGTGATTGGGACTTGTGTGTATTGTTGCATAATTGCATTGCATTATATATCTAAAAAATGGAGAATTCTCTCTGCTAGAGATTGTAACCCCCTAGCGCTTGCCACTACCTCAGTCCCCCTGCTCCAGTTTGCTAAAGTGGCCTCAGTTCCTTGCTCACTACATTTCTGATGTTTCAATTTATTTGTATCCTAGGGGGCTGCCTTCAGAACCAGTTAGGCCTGAAGTCCCTGCTCCAGTGTTATCACCAGGCTGCTGGTCTACCCTGCTCTTTTGCATTTGCTTGGGTGGGGGGTAAGGCTCCTTCATTTCACCCTATGGCCTTCATACCCCTTTTCCATACTCCCCCCCCCC